CCTTTGCCCTGTTGACGATCCTACCAGGCCCCGGTCTTTTATCCGCAAAACCAATCTTCCGAAACGCCTCTGGTTCATTGACACTGTCTTCAAGCACAATGTCTGCCCTTTGGTGCATAGCACCGAGCGTAGAGGCCTCCTTTTGCAAGCCTTATATGCCATGGACCAAGGCCAATGGTTCTCCATCCCAGAGCTCATTTGGACCACATTTATGAAGTTTTGGCATGACGCTCATAATGCACGGGTTCCGCGAGTTGAAAATCGGAAATTGCCGTTGCCGTTTTTCATCACTCGGCTCCTTCAGCACAAGGGTTTCATTGTTCCTCCCCATGAACCAAAAGACGAAAAGATTAAAATTTTTACCCAGCGCCAGTGGATCAATGTTCTTAGCCATTCTAGTACCCCTCAGCCTGCTGCCCCCCTGTTCATCCACGCTCCACCTCCTCCTCCTTCTGCGGATGCTTCCACCGCAGCCGCCGCTGCAAGGGTAGAGCCTCCGGTCGACTCTCACCAGGACCAGGCTTTCCTCCGGGCTAGCTTTGCCGGTATTCATGAGCGACTGGATCGTTTTGAGAATTCTTTGTCCGTGTGCACTCAGACTCTGTGTGAGACTTCTTCACGTGCTGAAGAAGATCGTCGTCTTGCTGCTGAAGACCGCCGTGTCGCCGCTGAGGACCGTCGTTTGGCTTCCGCTGAACGGCGCAAGACTCAATCTCTCCTCCATTCCATCCTCGCCCGTTTACCCTCTGGACCGTAGCTTGTTGCGAGTGTGGACCTTATCTTTTTGTTTCATATGTAACTATTTCTCTTGTATCTTTTGTTTTCCTTTTGAACTATAAGAATTTGCTATGTATAGGTTGCTCTAGTCGACCTGATCCCTGTACAGCTCTTTTTGTAATCATGTAAACTCTTTTTGCAATGCAAATTCTTTCTGTTCTGTTAACTTTCGGTACATTCTTTTTCTGTATTTATGCTTGTGCTATTAATACTGTTTGTGGTTGTTTCTTTTTGTTCTTCGTGATGCTCTCCAGGTTGCGCAGTCCAATTCAAGTTTGGGGGTTTTTGTATCAAAATGCCATTTCCTCCCCCTGGGTATTGTTGTTCCTTTTTATACTCTGTCATTTTTGTCTCTAACTTACATCCATGTCCCACATTGAGGACACTGTGTAGTTTAAGTTTGGGGGTGCATCAAAGCATTCTTGGCATATTTTTGGTTTCATAATTTTTGCTAAGCAATGATAGTATAACTTGACACTTGTCGGAGATGAAACATATGTTTAATACCTTGTGTATAGAAGCAATTGAAATTTTTGAAAATAAAGAAAAATTTGAGTTGAAATGATCATGTAGATTCAAATTAGTCTGTATAAATGTTTCAATTAGATTCTTGCTGGATTTACACTCTTATAAGCTTCACAATGCACAGATGCACATTGGAAACTTAACTGTGAGGCATGCAACTTGATCAACCTTGACCTTGGCCTAGTTAATCTGATTTGATGAACCTGATAGATGAATATCTTTGGCATGATTTAAGTTGAAAAAAAATAAAAAATAAAAAATAAAAAATAAAATAAAAAAAATAAAAATAAAAAAAACTGAGAAAGAAAAAAAAAAAATGACCAGTTGACGTTCGTAGCCTTTCCAACTCGAGCTATTAAGCCCTAGGAGTGTCTCTACACTTAGCACCCTAAAGCCGTCTGGTTTGGGAGTTGTTGGCCTAACGCTTGCTACAAGGGTTGGTTAGAAAGCTTAAAGGACTTAAACATTGCACGGTCATTCAAAAAAAATTGTAATAAACATGTTTCGCTAGAGTTCGTAGCCTTTCTAACTTGAGCTATTAAGCCCTTTGGAGTGTCTCTACACTTAACACCCTAAAGCCGTCTGGTTTGGGAGTTGTTGGCCTAACGCTTGCTACATAGGTTGGTTAGAAAGCTTAAGGGACTTTAGCATTGCACAACCATTCTATGTTTCGCTTATGAGTTGCAATAAATTGTTAACAGGCAACAAAAGTTGTCTTGAAAATAAAATCATGCCTTAGGGACTTCATGTAAAGGGGAATTCATTGATTTGAAAACTTGTGCCTTGGAATTGGAAAAGAAAGTAAAAGCCGCATCTTGAGGATTCAATTCACTTTCACTGGAGTTTGAGAAATTTCCATTTAAGAGATGACAATTGAATTATTTATATGGACTATGATGTTGATGCATGCATGTTGAAATGGTTTTTCCCATTTTTTGTATCAATGCTTCATATATGCAAGGTAGTCTTCCCAATGATCCCGTCTCCAGCTCTTATCTGTTTCAAGTTGTATTTGAGCTATGTTTATGTTTATCTTTGCCATGGTGAGTATTTTTGTAATAGCATTCCCATGTTTTCATTCCATTGAGCTTTGCATTTTGGTTTTGCTAAGGGACTAGCAAAATGTAAGTTTGGGGGTGTGATAAGCGCTGAATACTGTATATTCAAGCGCCCTAAATTACATTAACAAAGTCCATTAATTGATTATTTTATGTAGATTAACTCCATTTGCATGTTTTTATGCATTTTCAGGTTAAAGTGCAAAAAGGAAGCAAAAATGATGCCTTGTGGAATTTTGAACAAAAAGGATGCCATTTCTGAATTTCTGGCAGCAGTGATCCTGACTTTTGTCGCCATTTTCGACCTAGCAAACTCAAGAACTGGACTTCCATCATAACATGAAAGATTTAGATCTCTGAATCAGCTTTCCAAATCTTCAAGCGGTTTATCATTTGGAGTTCGGAGCAGAGAGTTATGATCTTCTTAACAGAGGTGCGCAGAACTGCCTGGCAGCACTGAAGTACTGCCTTTCTCCCCATTTTCGACCAACCAGACTTGAGAATTGGGTCTTCATCAAAACATGAAGTTTTTAAAGCACTGAATCAGCTCTCCAAATCTTCAAACAGATCATCATTCGGAGTTCGGGGTACAAAGTTATAGCAGTTTTACCAAAGTAGGTCAGCGTTGAGCAAGAAGAGCATGTTGCACATTACACTAATTTAGAGTGCTCGAGACCACTTTTCGAGTGCTCGAAAATCAGGCAGATTGCACTCGGAAATGGCTCATTTTCAGCCACTTGCACATTGGTTTCCTCAATGCCATCTTCCTTCTTTATGAAGTGGTTGGAGGTGTTCCTTGGAGGAGAGAGAGGGTTTTGTTGGAGAATAAAAGGCTACCAAAGGCCACACATTTGGTATGCTTCATTTTGGGAAGATAGAGGAGAGAGAAGAGAGCAAGGAAAGAGAGTTCTTCAAGCTAACAAAGGGAAGCTCGAAAATTGGAGATGGAGTTCAAGCTTCTTCTTCATTCTAAGGCTCCAATGGGTAACTAACTCTTCTTCTAGGGAGGTGATGAAGCCTCCCTTGTAAGCATACTCTAGTTTTGTTCTTAATTTGGGGAATGAAGTATGTATGTGGTATTTTTCATAAGCTAGAGCTCTACACATGTTGTAATGGATCTTAAATTCTATTAATGATTATGTTGAGTTTCATCATCTTGTTTTAGGTTATATTCTCTCATGATTTTATAGCTTGCATCTTCATAGTGGGAATGGAGATGAGATTATGAAATGGTTTTCTTGGCATGTCTTGTGAAGGTTTTGATAGTCCATTCCTAGGAACGATGAACCATACTACACCCCTAGTTTAATGTAATTAAGTAGATGGTTCATACCAACCGTGGATGGATTATACTTAGTCTTTGATTACATGTGCATTTACCATACAAAGTAAGGGATTTGATAGGCCATTCCTAGGGGATTATACTTAGATGGTTTATACTTAGCTCTTGATTGTATGAACTTCTTGAAGATAGTGTAGTTATCATGCATCTCTACATATCATGGTCATTTACATAAGTAGCTCCCCAAGTTAATTGCAAGCTAGCATGTTTATGAGGTGTGTGGTGGATTCATTTCCCTAGTCCTCTCCACCTAAGTTTCACTCCTTTTAATCTCCTTCCATTTATTATTTTATGCATCTTTACATTTCTAGCTTAGTGACAAACCAATCAACAACTCTTTATTACACCTTATCACTCTAAAACGACTCTAGACACTTAGGTTGCCATAGATTAGCGCAGTCCCAGTGGTTCGACTTACCCGACCAATAGCCCTATTTTACAATGATTCGTGCTATTGCGAAGGTTGATGTATAGTTGATCAACCGATCAGTCGTCCTCTTTGTCTCCTACCTTCTATGCAAATTAGTCTCCATCTTCTTACCTGAGCATCTATAGATCTTTCTTTGGATATGCCAATACCACTTGAGTCTACTTTTTCTTATCTTCTTGGTAATAGGCATCACTCCTAATTTCTCCCACTTTGATTACTAACCCTATCTCTTCTAGTCATCCTGTCATTCACCTTAACTTCCTCATTTCTGCTTCATGAATTCGTTATTCCTCCATTTAAATGCCCAACACTCCGAACCATATAAAATAGTTGGCATAACAACTATTCGACAAAAAAACAAGCTGAACAGATGTGGGAACTCATTAAAGAGAAGGGTTCCAATTCTCACTGGAACCAATCAACTCGCTATCGCCCATGGTTTTTGAATTTGCAAAATGTTTTGACATGTTTTTTCTTTATTTATTTTTATGAGAATCGCAAACCAAAGGACACTTGATCTCAGATCATGATCCTCTCTGCATGTAATCATGTTGATATTCACTTGTATGCCCATGCCCATGTACCCTAAGACTTAGTAAGTAAATTAATTCTACTTTGAACAATATGACGTAGCATTCAAATGATATATTATAATTTTATTCCAGCACATGTTCACAACTAGAATAAAAAAGTTACTAGTCATGTGGGTGTAAAAATATTAAATATGGCAGATTGAAAAAGATCAATGTACTAGTTTTGAAATGTAAAAAAAAAAAAAAAAAAATAGCATGTATGACCAAAAAGAAGAAACATCATATATTCAAAAGCAATAACCTGAGCCTTTAAGGAATTCATACAAAGAACTTACTTTCATCAGGAAAATCAACAAATTCCAAGACATGCCCAATATGCCCGTGTCTCCGGTCAATCTCTTTTATCTGATGGAAAATATAGATGTAAAAGTAAAACAATTATCTTATCAAGATAAGCTCCCTTAACAATAAAAAGATCAAGTTACTCCAAATTTCAAATACAGGGCAGATATCACTTATTATGTGTAGAGAAAATTGAGAGAGAAAAAAATAATAATAATAATTTGATCAAAACGTTATAAGTTGTTTTGATTTCCATAAAAGAAAAAAACATTCACTTTGATGTAACCAATCAGTCATATTAGGTCCAATCTTTGTAGGCCCTTTCAATCTCACAACATCCTAAAATGTGAAATTTGTAGAATAAAAATTTTATTTTATTTTTACCTTCAGTCAGCAATCACAGATAAGGATCTAGTGCTCTATCATTTGATGTCATGCATGAAGTGACGTTGTTTCTTCACTGGTGAAAGGAATTGCTTCCACATACAAGTTTAGTTAGGCAAAGCGAGAGGATATTTATTTATTTGGTGCCATCCCAAATTTTTATAGGGCCTTCATGTCACACCTACCACCTGTCCCATGTCTTTATCGTGTATCACTATATATTAAAACAGCTCCCATCTATGAAGCTTGGGTCAAGGAATGGCCTACTACAGAGAGGGCTATATGACGTAGAATAAGAACCACTCCATGAAGTAGAAAGGGCTACTCCAGCTACAATGGAGCTACCTAGGGGAGTTCAAAAAGGGCTACCTAGGAGGAGCTACCTTGAAAAGAATGAAACCATCCCAAGGAGTGAAAAGCCCTACCCGCTGCAAGAGCAAAAGCAGCCAAAAGAGAGGAGTATGATGTCTTGCTCTTGATGCCTTGTGGTCCCAAATGGCTATGGTTTCTACTTCAAGCATTCCATCAATCTTAAGGTTCATTTAATAGTCTTCAAGTTCAAAAGATCATTGAGCCTTGCAATTGTAGCATGATTTACTACACAAAATTTAAATGATGGTGCATTTGCTCAAGATAGAGGAGCTAAACTAACAGTAATTCACATATCATTTTCCAACTTCTCTAGCAACTTCTGCTTCATATCATTTATCCAAATGCTGGTAGTGAACGACATAACATTTGGTCATTTGGAAAGAGCTTGTAAGGGGAGAATGGAAGGAATCCAAGAGTTGCTTCCACCAGTAAACGTGAAGAACACTTGTTAGGAAAATGGCTATGTTAGATCAAAGATACAGTTGGGAAAGGAGTTATCCAGCGAGCTATGTTGAGTTATTCTCTGACCATGCTATAGAGAATAGGCAACTTAAAGAATTTAAGCCAATATTACTTATCAAAAAAAAAAAAAATTAAGCCAATATTTATAAAGTACCATTTTCCTGGTTGTTCAGCAGCATTCACAAGGTATCAGTTTCTGGTCAGAGACGATGTCAAGGCAGGAAGTGCACAATTCCAATCTGACAAATTTTGCAGCAAATTAGCATAAGCATATCCACGTTTGTTTGCTAATCTGAGTAATCAAAACCAGTCTATGAGAGAGTATCATTTTTTCCCCCGGTAAATGAGGGATTATTTAATTTGTATACTACTCTGAGTAACAAATAACAATCCAAGAGAGATAATCCATCAAGGCTATGAATAGCGTCTTCCACTTTCAGTCCTCTCCTCTTTCTTATCTAGCATACATAGAGCCCGAGTACGGACATATGAGAACTGCAAGCCACGTACCTTGTCAAACATTGCACCTTTTAAATCTCTCGGAGGCCATGTGATAAGCATTGAATATTGCATATTCGAGCCCTTAAACATGCATATGTTAATGCCCTAGCGATGCTTATATCTCGGTTCTTATGTTTTCGTTCATTTTCTATTTGTAGGTTTTTACCCGAAGATGTGAACAATTCCATGTATTAAGAGCTTATGGCGATGTTCTCAATGCTTAGGGAGATGTTCCGGACCTTTCAAGTCAATTTGGGGTTCAACCGGGATGATTTGAAGAAATTCATAAACCAAAGCTCGAGCACAACCCTTTAGTGCTCGAGCATTGCCTAGAGCTCGAGCACTGATCCTAGTGCTCGAGCTCTCCATACTTAGAGCTCGAGCACTGGATGAAGAAACTGCTAAACAGCAGAAAAATTCTAAGTATGGAGAGCTCGAGCATCAAACCTTAGTGCTCGAGCACTGAGCCTCAAAGCTCAAGCTTTGGCCTTAAAGCTCGAGCTCAAACCTCCCTGGGAAGATGAAAAGACACTTTAGAAATTTTGAACTACAGAGCTCGAACACAAGATACCAGAGCTCAAGCTCGAACATCCTGAAAGTTTCCAAAAGCTGCGGGAAAGTTGTAAAATCCCTCTTCTTTGTTCCTTTATGGGCCTAATTATCCCCCAAAAGCTATAAAGCCCATCCAAGGGGGATTAGGACTTGTTCTTCACATTCTTCTTCTTCTTCTTCCTCTTGGTTCTCCTACCTCTTGGCAGCTTTTAGGGTTTTGAAGATTGAAGATTCCACTTGGCAGTCCATGGAGATGGCTTCTACACCAACAATGATGACATTCTTCCTCTCCATGAGAAGCTAAATCATTCCTTAGGGCATTGATGTAACCCTAGTCTGAGTAGCATGGTTCTATTGTTCTTAACTTTTGGGATTTTTCTATGTATATTGATTGCATAATTGTAAGCAATTGACTTAGTTGTACTAAGCAATTGGGTTTTAATGATTATAATCAGTTTTAAATAAATTAATCTCGTCTTAGAATTAATTTTGTTTTAATTGAATTCAAACCCTGCTATTGTGAGAGATTAGTGGCTAAGGGCTTCTCTTAACGGTAGAAGTGGTTATCATGCAATGGTGCTTAACAAATATATAAATGAATGTTTTGATAATTCATGCATAGGGAAGACGAGTTGTACTGCATGGTAGCTTAGAGTAGTTAGGTAGACAATTCGTATCAACCGAAGATGAGTTATGGCTGAGTGTTTATTCACGTATATCTTCTTAATTGAATTGAAGCGTTCTTGTAGCCACTTGATTCCCGAATATACATGTGCGAATTTCCCCATAGTTGAAGCAATTGACCGTGTTATGAGGCTAGCAGTGAAGTCAATCCCTAAGTTTTTCTCACTTTGATCTCATCCTTTGTTAATTTAGTTTATTTTCAGTTTTATTGTAATTTAGAAATAGAAAACACATCAAAATTCTTTCTTTTAAATCAAACAAGGATTCGTTCTATTGCAAGTGGTTTTTATCATTGAAAACATACACATCACCATGATGACAGTTCATCTCCCCTGTTAACTTGAGACCACCATTCCATCAAAAGTAGCCCGCTTTGAGATCTCATTTAAAGGAAAAAGGAAATCCCCAACAGAAAAGCAAATGTAGCGAGATCAATCATTTCTATCCGGCTAATGTTCAACATCAGGGAGGACAATGTTTGCAGAGGGATTGTCTCTTTTTATCAAGGTTTGTTTACAGAGCCTTATGCTTGGAGACCCCAGCTGGATGGGCTTCACTTTGATTCCATTTCAGAGCTTAGTAGAGATAGGATGGAGATTCCTTTCTCTGAAGAGGAAGTGCTGAAGACGCTTAAGAGTTGTAACGCAAATAAAGCTCCGGATCCGGATAGCTTTACTATGAGTTTTCTTTTGGAGAGTTGGGGTATGGTCAAGGGGGAGGTGATGGATACGTTTCATGCTTTCCATTCTCAGGGGAGGTTTGAGAGTTCCTTGAATGCCTCGTTTATTGCACTTATTCCAAAGAAGGAGAAGGGGGCTTCGGATATGAAGGACTTTAGACCTATTAGCTTGTTCGGGTGCATTTACAAACTAATAGCTAAAGTTTTGGCTTATAGATTGAGGGATGTCCTGGATGATATTATTTCAGAGTCTCAGAATGCTTTTATTGGTGGGCGTCAGATTATTGACTCAGCTCTTATTGCTAGCCAATGTTTGGACACGAGGCTGAGGAGCGGTGTCCCAGGGGTTCTTTGCAAGCTTGATGTTAAGAAAGCCTATGATCATGTGAGTTGGAAGTTTCTGTTGTATTTGATGGAGAGAATGGGGTTTAGGGACAAATGGAGGCATTGGATTGAAGCCTGTATTTCTTCAGCTAGATTTTCAGTGATGGTTAATAGGTCTCTAACTGATTTTTTTGGTAGCTCAAAAGGTCTGAGCCAGGGGGATCCATTATCTCCTTTTCTATTCATTATTGTTATGGAGGCCCTGAGTAGGTTGATGGGGAAGGCGGTGGAATTGGGTTTTATAAAGGAGTTCATGGTGGGTGGGGATGTTGCTCATCACCTGGAGATATCTCACTTATTGTTTGCGGATGATACTTTACTGTTTTGTGAGGCAGAGGTGTCCCAGATGAGGTCCTTGATGTCGGTGCTGGTTTGTTTTCAAGCTATCTCAGGCTTGAAAGTGAATGTAGGGAAGAGTGTTTTGATTCCAGTGGGGGCAGGTGCAGAATATAGGTGAGTTAGCCTTCTTGGATGTGGAATTAGTAGCTTTCCAATTACATACTTGGGGTTACCTTTAGGAGTTTCTTCGAGGATTGTGGGTGTTTGGGATCCGGTGGTTGAGATGGTTTAGAGGAGACTGGCAGGGTGGAAGAAGCAGTATTTATCGAAAGGTGGGAAAGTCACTCTTTTGAAAAGTACGCTTCCAAGTATTCCTACATATTTTCTATCTCTTTTTCAGATTCCATCCATAGTTATTGCTTCGATTGAGAGGCTTCAGTGGAACTTTCTATTGGGTGGCTTACAAGGTGAGTTTAAGTATCACCTTGTCCATTGGGAGCAGGTTTGTAGGCCACTTCATGCTGAAGGGTTAGGGTTAAGGAGGTTGGTGCCATTTAACAGGGTGCTCCAAGGTAAGTGGTTGTAGAGGTATGGAGTGGAATGCCATAGGCTGTGGAGGAGGGTTATTTTGTGCCGGTTCGGGAAAGAGAGGGGGGTGGTGTTCAGGATTGGTGAGGATTCCTGGTGGTGTTGGTGTTTGGAAATCCATTAGAAAAGGATGGAATGAGTTTTCAAAACACATCATATTCAGAATTCAGGATGGTAAAGACGTCTGCTTTTGGGAGGATCTTTGGTGTGGTGATTGTTCTTTGGCTTGTTCTTTTCCCAGATTGTTTAGGATTACTGTTGACAGGCATGCCTCGGTTGCTGACTGTTATCGGCTTGATAGCGGGAGGTTGACTTGGGATGTGCGGTTTGTGAGAGCTTTCCAGGATTGGGAGTTGGACGACATTTGTGGGTTGTTAGAGCGCCTGTATCGGCATGAGAACTGTGGCAGAGGTGGAGATTCGCTCGTCTAGGTTCCTTCTGCCCGAGAAAGGTTTGAAGTGAGTTCATTTTTCCGTTGCCTCGCAGACTTTACAGGGATTACGTTTCCATGGAAAACTGTGTGGAGATCTAAGGTGCCACCCAAAGTGGCTTTCTTTACTTGGACAGTGGTGTGGGGGCAAGATTTTGACGCTTGACAATTTGAGGAGGCGAAGACAAATAATAGTTAACTGGTGTTGTATGTGCAAATGTAATGGAGAATCGGTGGATCATCTTTTTTTGCACTGTCTAGTGGCTTTTGACTGTTGATGTCTTTTGTGAGGCATGTTTGGGGTGTCGTGGGTGATGCCTAGATCTACGAGAGGACTGATGGAGGCTTGGAAAGGATACTTTGTGGGAGGTCATGCGTTGTGCTTATGGTGGTGTCTGTGGAGGGAGAGGAATAATAGATCCTTTGAAGGAGAGGAATCCTCGATCGTTGTTCTTAAGTCAACTTTTATTACTTCGCTATGCTTTTGGGGTTCCGGAAGGCATTGTTTCTCCCCGGAGGAGACAATTGATTTTATTTCTTCCTTGGGTCCATAGGATCCTTTTGTTGCTCATGGGACGCGTTCCCCTTTTGAACGCTATTTATTGAATTTGCTTAATTACCAAACAAAAAAAAAATTTGTTCAACATCAGATTTTGCATTTATCTTGGTCAGACTATCATCAATCTCTAAGCTTCCACGCACATTAAGCATGTAGAGAGAAGCAGCAAATATAGTGGAGATTAATCATGTGAACCAAGGAGCGGAAAAAAAAATCCTATCCTGAATGATCCAGAGCCTCAAAAATAAAAGTTAAAAAATAAAAAAGGGACTGGAGTGGACAAACATGACCTCTCGTATCACTCAAATTTAAAAACTTTTCCAGGAGTTCAAGCACTGGATTTCAGGGCATGACTTCGTAACTTACTTTAGATGTACCGGTATACGAGACGAAATATTAAAAACTCACAGCCTAATCAAGTGGATAATATTACCAAATCACCATAAAACCAAGCAACTCCAGATATAAAATGGAGATTAAAGCATATTTCAATAATGATCCAAAGGTATTCTGATATTCAAACTAGATGTTTTACTGTAAATAAAAGCATAATGTTCTACCAAGAAAAAATTCAAAGCACTAAAAAACTAAGGATTCTAGCAAAACAAATCGTTCATCCCTTATCTTGTCATCCAAGTATAACTCAATAGCATTTAAGTATAGCCAACATCATTCTATGATAAATATAGCCAAATTCAATGTAAGATCAAACATCTCAGAAGTAAGCACCAGAAGAATATAATCTAAATATATTATCATAGTTGCATTGAGGATTACCTTGCATCGGAACCATGCACCACGATACCCTATCTGAAATGATCTTGATTCAGCCAATTGTCCAACCTTAAAAGGCAGAAGGACATCCTTGTTCATGATGGATCTCAAACAACGTGCAGTTGCATCAAATATATTCCTCCTTTCAACGCAACTTCTCCACAAAAAACATAAAAACAAAAATGATGTAATGATTCACAAGGTAAAACCATGAGCACTAAAATCACAACCTAACAAAAAATCTCCTCCGCACCTAATTTTACGCAACTAAGACTGAATAATTTAGAAATGGGCAGCAATAAAACAATCTCATTCATTAAAATTGAAGATCACATTCCGTTAGTTTTGGATTGTGGAGGATTGAGACCTCGTTGTACTCCTTTCAGATTTGAGAATATGTGGCTTAGAGCCGTTGATTTTTAGGGGAAAGTGCGGTCTAGGTGGGAGGAGGCCACGGTGGTGGGCACTCCAAGCTTTATTTTGGCTGGAAAGCTTTGTCTCCTGAAGAACAAGCTCAAAAGATGGAATAAGGACATTTCTGGGAATTTGGAGTGGAGGAAGAATAGGGTTCTTGCTGATATTGCTGAGATTGATAGATTGAAGGGGTGGGTGGTATTGTTGAGTCCCAGCGAGATAAGAGAGCAGCTTGTCAGGCAGAGATTGCTCTTATAGAGGAAATTTCGTGGCGACAGAAATCTTGGGCTTTATGGCTCAAAAAGGGAGGGAGACTGAAATACGAAGTTCTTTCATAGACTTGTTAATGCCCATAGGAGGGGAAATCACATTGGATGGATTCGAGTGGACAGGGCGGTGTTGAATAAGGAGGATGACATGCGTAGGGGGAATGTTTCTTTCTACCAAAGGCTCTATTCTGAGCCTTTACGTTGGAGACCACGACTTGATGGCCTTCATTTTGACTCTATTTCAGCAGTGGATAGTGATGGATTAGAAATTCCTTTTTCAAAGGAGGAGGTACTGAAGGCGTTGAAGAGCTGCAATGTGACAAAGATCCGGTCCGGATGGATTCACAATGAGGTTTTTATTGGAAAGCTGGGAGGTGGTGAAACAGGAGGTAATGACCACTTTCCATGAGTTCCATTCTAACGGAAGGTTCAAAAAGTCGTTGCATGCTTCTTCTTTTGAGGATATTGTGGACTTCTTGGGCTCTTTAAGTTCATAGGTTCCATTTTTGTGTATAGCTTGGGACGCGTTCCCCTTTTGAACGCTTTCTAATACATTTTACTTATCAAAAAAAAAAAAAAAAAGTCGTTGCATGCATCTTTCATTGCCCTAATTCCTAAGAAGGGTGGTGCGTCTGACGTTAAGGATTGTAGATCGATGAGTCTGCTTTATAAGCTTATCACTAAAGTCCTTGCGTTGAGATTAAGGGAGGTTCTGGATGGAATCATTTCTGAGTCTCAAAATGAATTTATTGGGGGAAGAGGATTCTGCTCTTATTGCCAGCGAATGTGTGTGGATTATAGGCTGAGTAGTGGTGTTCTTGGAGTTTTGTACAAACTCGATATTGAGAAAGCCTATAATCATAGAAGAAATACAATATAGAAGAAAGAGAAGAGAAATATGTAAAAGGTTTGAATGAGATAAATCACTCATTCACAACTCTAGTATTTATAAATAAAAAGAGCACATAATCATATTACAAGAAAGGATATTAAATCAAATCACAGCATATTCTATGGCTAGACATATGCGTAAATAAAGTCAAACTCCATGATTTGAGGCTATCAAATCTCTACTAATGTGGTAAGTCATTCTATAATTCGTGGCCATCATATCTCTGCTAACACTCCCCCTCAAGTTAGTGCGAGAATATCTAAGACGCCCAACTTAGACAATACATCCTCAAACACAATCTTACTAATGCAGTTTGCAGGAATGTATGTAGGGTGTTGAGAGCAAATCTGACTAGTGAGGATTTTCTCTCAAATGAAGTGTCCATCAACAAATCAAAGTGTCTCCTCAGACCATAAACAACCAACCATGTGTTTTGCGACCATAAACAACCAACCATGCGTTTTGCGACCATAAACAACAAAAAATGTCTCCTCAAACCACTTTCCTTCCCACACATATTTAAAAGATGTAGATGGAAGAATCAAAAATGTCTCCTTATACCACAAATCATCAACAATGTTGCCTCAGACTATTTCCGAACAGGTGGTGCCGAACTCGCAATGCCCTCATTACAATCGGACCACCTGGCTCTAATACCAAGAAGAAATACAATATAGAAGAAAGAGAAGATAAATATGTAAAAGGTTTGAATGAGATAAATCACTCATTCACAATTCTAGTATTTATAGATAAAAAGAGCACATGCTCATATTACAAGAAATGAAATTAAATCAAATCACAACATATTCTATGGCTAGATATGTGCATAAATAAAGTCAAACTCTATAATTTGAGGCTATCAAACATCTACTAATATGGTAAGTCATTCCATAATTCATGGCTATCATATCTCTGCTAACAATCATGTTATTTGGAATTTCCTGTTATATCTATTGGAGAGGATGGTTTCGGAGAGAGAAGAGAAGATGGATCGAGGTTTGCGTTTCCTCTGTCAGATTTTCTTATTGGTGAATGGGTGTCCCTCCGATTTTTTGGCAATTCTCGAGGTTTGAGGTAAGGGCATCCCCTCTCTCCTTTTTTGTTCATTATTGTTATGGAGGCCCTTAGTGGGTTGATGAGGAATTAGTGGATTTAAGCTTTATCAAGGGTTTCAGGACAGGTCATAATCGGTTCAACATATTGAGATCTCTCACTTGCTATTCCCGGGTGATACTCTGGTTTTCTATGAGGCAGATGTGCCCCAACTGAGATATTTAAGATGTATTCTGGTTTGCTTTCAGGCAATCTCAGGTTTGAAAGTCAATGTGGGAAAGAGTGTGCTTGTCCCTGGGGAGTCGCTTCTCTTGCGACGGTTCTAGGGTGTGGGATGAGCTCCTTCCCTATTTCTTATATGGGTTTGCCTTTGGGTGCTTCGCCAAGGAGGGTGGGAAGTTGGGATCCGGTGACAGAGCGATTTGAGAGAAGAATGGATAGGTGGAAAAAGCAGTATCTTTCGAAGGGCGGGAAGGTTAATTTAGTGTAGAGAACGCTGTTGAGTCTTCCAACTTATTATCTTTCACTTTTCTAGATTCCACCTCTATTGCTGGAAGACTCGAGAGTCTTCAACGAAACTTCCACTGAGGCGGTCGAGGGGAGGAGTTTAAGTATCATCTCGTCCGATGGAAGTATGTTTGCAGGCCTCTTCAGTTGTTGGTCTTGGTTTTAGGAGGTTGTCCCCCTTCAACAGCTCATTGGAAGCTCCTTGGAAAGTGGCTGTGGAGATTCGGTAGCGAAAGGCACTTTCCAAGGAGCTGCCCATCACGCGTGCATCCGATTAACACTATTTTGATTGTTAATGGACTTCAGTGCCTGGTGACCTGTAAACAACACGAACTCTCGCTGGATAAGATAATGCTTCCACATATGCAAAGCTTACACCACCGCATAGAATTCCGACTCATAGGTTCACTTCTTGCGTACTTCACTCAGCTTCTGCCTATAAAATGCTACTGGCCTTCCTTTTTGTGATAGAACTGCTCCGATTCCCATTATTGAGGTATCACAATCCACCTGAAATAGCTTCGAAAGGACTAAGATTAAGGCTATTGACAGTTTTTCCTTGATTAAGGCAAAACTCATCTCAGCTTCCTCACCCCATTTCCTTTCTTCATGCATTCTGTGATGGAAGCCACAATACTATTGAAATTCTTGATGAACCTTCAGTAGAACGTGATTAAGCCATGGAAACTGTGTACTTTTCCCACATTCTTCGGCGTAGGCCAATCCCAAATGGCCCTCACCTTCATGGACGCCTCCCATCTATGTAGACGCATTTTGAAATCGTGAGCATGAATAATGTTCAAAGTGGACAGTATCTAAACAGTGAGTGCGGGTGGATAGATGGTATCAAAGCCAATCCCCAGCCAAAAATGGGAGAGTGTGCACACACGAATGAAGGTCAGGGGTCAGTGAGGATGCTGGGTCCCAAGAAGAGGTGATTGAATCGGGTTCAAACATTTCTTATTTCATGTTGATTCCTGACAAAAAGGAACAATTTGAGCAGAAGGTCCATATCTTTTTTTTAAAATGAATCTGTTATTATTTTTTTGTGGGATCATTTCATCACCAGAAGTAATAAGAAAGAATTATATAAAGGCTGCCTAGATCACGAATAAATGGAAATTTTATTGATAAGACCTTTTCAATTGTAGCCAATATCTTATTACAAATAATTCCGACAACTTCAGGAGAAAAAGAGGCATTTTCTTATTACAGAGATGGTGCGATTTGATTTTTTTTTTTTTTTTCTTCTTTATTTATTTACTCCCACGTCTCGTTATGAATTGGGGAAGGTTGTGACATATGGTATTGTGGACGTGGTCTAGCCACGTCACCAAGGGCCAAGTCAAATAGTCAACACTTTGACAAAGTCCACCTCAGCAAAGCATGTGATAGTCGATCACTGGGCCTCAATCTTAGCCCTACATTCGGTCGATGGGCCTTGAATCTAATACATTGTCGATCGACGGGCCTTGAACCTCGATCTGACCTTTTGACAATCTGTCGGTTGATGGGCCTTGAACCTCGATCTGTTAATCACAAATCATCGATCAACGGGCCTTGAACCTTGATCCGAGTCGCAAATTGTCGATCGACGGGCCTTGAACCTCAACCTGACCCTTTAACAATCTGTCGATCGACGGGCCTTGAACCTCGATCCGAGCCTTTCATAATTTGTCGATCGACGAGCCTTGAACCTCGATCTGACCTTCACAATCTATCGATCGACGGGCCTCGAACCTCGATCCGACTTTTTATAATCTGTCGATCGACGGGCCTTGAACCTCGATCTGACACTGCCATGAACCATCGATCGGTGGGCGTCGAACCTCGATCCAAGCAACGAAGAGTTATGGTAGGGCTCTTCAAATAACATTGGGACGCAGAAGGGATTTTGGAATGGAGGATGGAAAATTAGTAATGTCTTGCCCACTAAGGCAAGACCCAGTCTAAGGATAAGAGCAAAAGACAGCTGGACTAGTACAATTGCCTTTACATCCTGCCGTTTTTGGATTATTC